ATGCATGTGTAACGTAATGAGGTCTTGCTGTTCGGATAATGTGTCGTCCAAAGTCAGGCCTTCTGGCAAGAGATAGCGCCATTCGGCTGGAGCCACAGTGAAGAAGACATTGGGGAACGTCTTGCCGAGGTCGCCTGTGTTCTCGTATTCCCGGCGACAAACATCTTCCATTTTTCTGAGTTGGAGAAGCCAGTAGCCTTCGAACATGTCCTGCTGCTGGGCGGCAAATTCCGGGGCGATGTTCTTTTGATTGGCAACACTGATGAGGGAGGTGATCGTTCGGGCCATGGCGGTGTCATAGAGGAGCGACTTCAATGCAAAATCGCGGCAGTAATCGATGCACCTGCTTGTCAGCTTGCGCAAGAAGCTTGCTCGCAACGACGGAAGTGAGCCCGACGTTATCCATTTGAGTGGTGATAGGCGCGGGGACAGATCCGTGTCTCCGAAGCTGGCAAGCGGGTATAGCCACGGCCTTGCTGCAATCTCGATGCCGGGGGAATTCAAGAGCAAGTTCGCGGTTTGTACCTCTTGCCACGTGCCTTTGCTGTTGCCGTTGCTATTCGCTAGCTGCTTGTGGAATTGGACCCAGCTTGCATAGGTGTCGTTGTTCGCCAGCAGCCAGATAAAGAGCCGGTTCGCTTGTTCGGATCGCTGGATATCGAACAAAGGCAAACTTTTCCAGCGCCCGCGNNATAACAGACTTCTTCTGCTTGCTCGTGATTTCGGCGTTGCCGCCGCGACGTGTTTGATAGTCAATCTTCAAATCCAAAACCGCCAGGGTGTCCAGGTCTTCTTTGGAAATGCCGGGCGTGAATGGCAGTCCTGTGAGCGCAAGGTTCGCCAGCAACTGCTCCCAGTGTTGGGAATTGGGCGTGACGTAGGCATCCAGCTTGTGGTACTTGTCAGGGCTGGGCTCCGTCCGCGGAAGTAGCAGCTCTTCAGGCGTGGGATCGCATCGTGGATGACATTTCTTGTCTGGGCGCTGGACCTTGAGGCTGGCAATATTGGAGCGAGGCCGGCGACGTCCACACCGTGGGCAGAAGGTCCAGGAGCCTCGGACGAGCCACTGATCGATCTCCTCGTCTGGGTCGACTGCCATGAGCCGCATCCCTGGCCTCGCGAACATGACGGAAAACGACTTCTCGAACTCTGATTCCCAGGTCTCTGGCTCTTCCAACTCTTGCCGGGTGTCGAAGTAGTCTCGTCCTGTGACTCGGAACCATCGTCTCAAGGTGGTACGTGGAACATACTGGCTAGCCTGTGCATCTGTGTCGCTGAAGTCGGGAATGGTCTGCTGCAGCGCGGCCATGAAGTCCTCTTGGCTTCTAGCCGTTTCCAGAGCAGAGGCAATGGCCTCGCGCACAGATTCCGACAAGGCTGCTCGAGTCGAGTTCGATGGAGGTGCTCGTGACTTGTTGAGGTCCTTGGGCTGTTTTGTCACGGCCAGATTTCGTGTCGGAGCCCTTGATGCCAGCTCCAGAGCCTTGTCGAGTCTTCTATGATCTTGGATCCAGTGGCGAATAGTGAAGGAGGATACGTAGCCGTCTGCTGCTGGATCTTGTGTCGTTAGGTTCGGGACCGAAACGGCGAGCTCGGCGAGGACCTTCTTGACGGTGACGTGCTGTTTGCAAATGCTAGCGATCTTTTCTCGCTCCTGTGTTGTGAAACGAGACAAAGGTCGACGAGGGTGTGCTTGAGTTGGCGCGGATGGCGGAGCTGCCGGGGCCGCAGTCTGTTCCGTCTCAAGAATTTCCGTGTCTTCAATCAAGTACTCTTCGCTGGGTGCGTTTGCTGCTCTCCGTTTGGAAGATGAGTCGTCTGTGGCCGAGGACGCGCGTTTGAGGCTTCCGGTGGCAGGAGGATCCAGCTCCATGATGACGTCGGAGTCGCTGCTCGCATCCAAAGTTATGCCTGGACCAGGTGGAAGATCTTCGTGCTCGCCGCGGTCTTGTGCGACGTAGTAGAGCACGTATGCCTTCTCCTCCGGCGGCAAGATGAAGTCTGGCAGGAAGGTCATGGTGTTGTCGTTGCACTTCAAGATGCGATCGCCGTGACGCCTGTAGGCCACATAGTGACCCGAGTCTGCGGTGGCGCCGATGTGAGCCACAAGGCTCTGCAACCTGTAGGTTCTGTCGCCGACGGCCAGAGTGGCATCACAGCTCACCCGGTGAGCTAGCGCACGACGACGAGGGAAATCCCAGCGTTTGAGAGTCAACATAAGGACTCTGGGCCATGT